TTTCCCCTTTCATCTCTGATTTTGTTGATTTGGATTTGTTCTTTCTTTTGGTTAACTGGGCTAAGGGTCTGTCTATCTTGTTTAGATTTTCAAAGAACCAGCTCTTAGATTCATTGATTCTTTGTATTGTTTTCTTTGTTTCTATTTCATTAATTTCTGCTCTGATTTTTGTTATTCTCATCTGCTAGGTTTGAGTTTCATTTGTTTTTGCCTGTCTAGAGACTTGAGTTACAATGTTAAGTCATTTATTTGTACTCTTTCTGGTTTTTTAATGTAGGCACTTAGAGCTATAAACTTCCCTCTTCCAACTGCTTTTAAAGTATCCCAGTCATTGTGTTGCGTTTTATTGTCCTTTTTGTTTAATTCCAGGAATACTTATATTTCTTTCTTAATTTCTCCTTTGACCCACTCATCATTCAGGAGTGTGTTGTTTAATCCCCATGAGTTCATGTAGTTACTAGGGCTTCTTCTGGAGTTAATTTTAAGCTTTATTGCATTGTGTGTGATGTGATAGAATGCATGGAATTATTTAAGTTTTTTTTGTATTTGTTGAGGTTTGTTTTGTGCCCTAGTATGTGGTCAATTTTTGAGAAAGTTCCATGGGGTTCTGAACAGAAAGTGTATTCCTTGGGGTTTGGGTGGAATATTTGGAAGATGTCTGTTAGGTCCATTTGATGTATGGTATCATTTAATTCAGATATCTCTCTGTTTATTCTTTGTCCAGTTGACTGTCTAATAGAGATAGTGGGGCACTGAGTCCCCTACTGTTACTGAGTTTAGATTAATCTCGTCTTAAAGTCCTATAGTATTGTTTTTATGAATTTAGGTGCACCACAGTTTGGTGCATATATGTTCATGATTGTAGTATCTTCTTGGTTAATTATTCCTTTGATCAGAATGAAATGACTCTGATTATCTCTTTGATTAGTTCTAGTTTGAAGTCTATTTTGTCAGATATAAGAATTGCAACTCCTGCTTGTTTCTTAGTACCATTTACTTGAAATATTCTTTTCCATCCTTTCACCTTAAGGTAGTGGCTGTCCTTGAAGGTGAGATGGGTTTCTTGCAGACAACAAAAAGATGGATTTTGTTTTTTAATCCATTCAACTAGTCTGTGTCTTGGGGAGTTCAGTCCATTTATATTTAAAGTTATTTTTGAAAGATGTGTATTGATTGTCATAATTTTTATTACTGTTTGCATTGTTTGTCTAATTTTGTGTTTCCCCAATTATATCTTCATTTAGTTTCTTTCTGTTGTCCCTGGGGTATAGTTGTTCCTTTCTCCATTCTTTGTGTTGCTTCAAGTATTCTTCAAAGGGCTTGTTTTGTGAGCATGTATTCTTCCAACCTATTCATGTTGTGGAAGATTTTTCTTCCCCCTTCAACTATAATAGAATTTTTGCTGGGTAAAGTATTCTGGGTTGGCAGCTATGGTCATTTAGAACAGGAAATACCTTAGTCCAGGCTCTTCTGGCTTTCATAGTTTGCATTGGTAAGTCAGCTGTAATTCTGATGGACTTTCCTTTGTATGTGACTTGTTTTTCTTTTGCAGCTTTCAGTATTCTTAGTTCTGTCATTTAATGTTTTTACTATGATATGCCATGGGGAGTTTCTTTTCTGGTCCTGCCTACTTGGTGTTCTATGTGCTTCTTATATTTGTATGGGAATGTCTTTCCTTAATTTGGGAAATTCTCTTCTATAATCTTGCTTAAAATCTGGTCAATACTGTTAACCTGAAATTCTCCTTCCTCTATACCTATAATACATAGATTTGGTCTTTTCATGGTGTCCCACATTTCCTGCATATTCCTTTCCTGTGTTTTTTTAAATTTTTCACATTCTTTGCTTGAGCAGTCCAATTCTTCAACTTTATCCTCCAGTGTTGATATTCTGTTTTCCATTTCATTCATTCTAGCAGTAAGGATTTCTCCTGTTGTTTCAACTTGGCTTACTGAGTTTTTCACTTCCTTCTTATTTCAGCCTGAGTTTTCTTCAATGTTTCTATTTTTGTGTGTGTGAATTCATTCAGAAGTTTATCCTATCTTCTTTTAGTTCTTTGATTTATTTGTATGTTCTTTAAATTCATTGAATTTCTTGATCATGTTTATAACTGCTCTTTTAAATTCTGTGTCCTGGGTTATCTCTAGGCGGTTCTCCTTGTAGAACTCTTCTACAGGACTGGTGGAGTTTGGTGGGAACATGCTGTTTTGGTCATTATTATATTTCCATTATGATTTTGGCATGTGGATTTCTTTCCTTGTTTGTGGTTCTGGTATGAAACTCAAGCCTTCTTTTGGTGAGTTTATGTTTGCTTCTGTTTGTATTATTGGTGTTCCTTGGTTGTTTTCTTATTGGGTATGTAAAGCTGGTTGGTCTAGGTTTCAGGTTCTCTCAGATTTTATTTCGGAGGGAAATGATGCGTTCAGATCAGCTACTCAGGAGCTCCCACAGAGGCACAAGTCAGACTCCAAACAGGTACACTCAGGCTTCCTTCTAACATTTGGACCCCTACTAGTGGGCACAATTTGGGAAGTTTGCTAAGGGGGAGGCCCGATTTTGACACTCCCAGACAGTCTGCCAAGGTCTCTGACCCTACGGTAGGACAGAAAGGTCTAGCCCTGGAAAAGTGGGAGGGGCCTCATGTGGTCACTGTTAGGGGGTTGGGGACAGCGTGATTTGAGGAAGCTCACCATGAGGCTGGATCCAGGTACTCTCAGGCAGTCTGCTGAGGTCTCAGCCCCTATACCATGCAGAGGCCAGATCCAGGCAATCGGTCTCAGGCCATCTGCTAAGGTCTCACCCCAAAATTAATTTTAAAGGGGGCTGGGGAGAGTTGGTTTAGCTGTGTTTGCCATGTAAGCATAAACTACTAAATTCAATACCCACAGCATAAAACATTAGGCGTAGTGAGCATTGGTGAGATGGAGACAGGAAGATCACTGGAGCTCACTGGTTAACCAGCATACCCTAATCATTTTAGCTCCAGGACCATGAGAAACCCCATCTCAGAAAACAAGGACAGCTCCTGAGAAAGGCCTGAGGTTGGCCTTTTTCTTCCACATTCACACACACATGTGAACCCACATAAACACATACAAATAAAATTAATTTTCAAAAGGCCAGGTTGAGTACTTGACAGTAACATAAAGGTGTATGTAAAGTACAGTGTTCATGAAAAGAAACTGGCTATCAGTGATACTTCAGAAGGCATCCCCATCATTAATTGACATGACTGTGTATTAATTTTAAATTTAGTCACAGTCAGCCATGGTGGCACATACTTTTAATCCCAGCACTCTGGAGACAGAGGCAGGTAGAGCTCTGTGAGATCGAGGCTAGCCTGGTCTTACAGAGTAAGTTCCAGGCCAGCTGGAGCTACAGGGAGACCCTGTCTCAAAAATACAAAAAAAAAAATTTTTTTTAATATTCACATTTAAGTGATGTCTGCTGTATTAGATAGCAGTTTAAAGAATACTGTCTCTAGCATTGGAAAATTGATTTTTTTTTCCCCTGAGGGCTCAGTGGGTAAAGGTGCTTGCTGCCAAGCCTGAAGACCTGAGTTTGATCCATTGGGGCCTGCATGGTGTGGTAGATAAAGAGAACCATCTCCAGCAAATTGTCCTCTAACCTCCATATGGGCACCATGACAGGTGTGTGTGTGTGTGTGTGTGTGTGTGCCCCACCCACACCTCATGCACACATACACACACAGGTTAAATAAGTAAATGTAATTTTAAAACTGACATTTTGAGACATGTATCCCAGGCTGACCTCAAAATTGCTGTGTAGCCAAGGATGACCTTGACCTCCTGCCTCTGCCTCCCTTAGGCTGTGATTACATGGTACACCACCAATGCCTAGTTTATGCAATGCTGTTGTCAAACCTAAGACTTCCATGGGTGCCGGGTAAAGCACTCTACTGATTCAGGTACATCCCCAGATAACAGTGATAAGTTGAAAAGAAAAAAATTATGTTTTCTTTATCATAATACTTTTATCAATGAAACCCATTACTTTTTAATTACATTTATTTATATACGTGTGTATGTTCGTGTGTGTATCTATTTGTATGTGTACAGGGGTGCATTTGTGCATGCCATGCCTCACATGTAGAGACCAGAGGATGACTTGTAAGGAGCTGGTTTTCCCCTACCATGTAGGTGTCAGAAATCAAACTCAAGTATTCAGGCTTGGCAGCCTGCTCCTTCACCCACTGAGCCATCTGGCCAACTCAGTACTTCCTTAAACTCTTGAGTTTTTACTTGAAATTAATGTTTTTAAACTTACATAAATCTTAAATAAATCTTACATAAATCTTAAACTTACATTAAAAAAAAAAAAAAAAATTGAAGCTGGGTATGGTGCCACGTGCCTTTAATCCCAGCATTTGGGAGGCAGAGGCAGGCGGATCCTTGTGAGTTCAAGGCCAGCCTGGTCTACATAGTGAGTTCCAGGACAGCTGGAGCAGCAGGGAGACCCTGTCTCAAAAAGACCAAAAAAAAACTGATATAACAGAAAGATGATTGATATAAGGTTAAACCTTGGTTAGATAGCTAATCTTAGGACCATTTGTTAATCTGATTTTGTGTTACAATGCATATGCTATTTAGGTTCCATTTTCTGTACTGTTGTGTACTTGAAAATATTATCGTCTCACCCACCCATATAATTTAAATTTTCCTTTCCCTCTGCACCATCTCACTTAAGAAATGGGCTTCTATTTTTGTTTGTTTGTCTTCAGATAGTCTGTATATCCCAGGCTGGCCTCAAACTTTTGATCCTCCTGTCTTTACCTCCCAGCTGGTGGGATTTCAAGTATGTGCCACCATATCCAGCTCTCCATTTCTTGGTATATTTCACTATAAATTTCCAAAAGTCTGGTTTTAATTAGTTACAGTTATATTTCTAGATGTGACCTGAACTGATTGTAAGAAATATTTTTTTTTCTTCCTTGGGGAGTAAACTGAACAAATCCACTAAAATTTATATTTTCTATAAAGGAAAGAAAATTTTAATATAACATGTGATGACTTGAAAGATGGTGAGAAGCGTCCAATCCCCAATCCTATATGTAAATTTGAAGATGCTTTTCAAAGTTATCCAGCAGTTATGGAAAACATCAAAAGAGCAGGCTTTCAAAAGCCAACACCAATTCAGGTATGCTTTTGCTAATTCCAGTATTTCACTGAATGATTCTACCCTCTGACAATATCTGTTTAGAAGTTAAATCACCAGAGAACAGCTGTATCTTAGAAAGCATATCCTCAGTACCTGCTGCCAGCATCACCAATATCTAATATTCAAAAATGTGTTGAAAGAAATAGAGCTGGAAGGACAAGAGCAAGTGGCAAGGGACTGGGGAGGGGGAGTCACTCAGTGGTTAAGAGCACTTGCTGCTGCACTTCTAAAAGACTCTAAGTTCAGTTCCCAGCACCCACATGGCAGTTCACAACTACCCTTCATTCCAGTTTCAGAAGATCTGGTGCCCTTTTCTGGTCTCTATGGGTACTGCATGCATGTGGTGCACTTATACAGATGGCAAGAAGGGATGTGTTTGTTTCAGTATTTGTTCTTCTTTTTCAGTCACAAGCATGGCCAATAGTTCTGCAAGGAATAGATCTCATTGGAGTAGCACAAACTGGAACAGGGAAGACACTGTCTTATTTAATGCCTGGATTTATTCATCTAGACTCTCAACCAGTGTAAGATTCCTTCAGCTGGGTTCCCCTTATGGGGATTTAATAGACATGGGCACCAAAGGCATAATTTTCAGTGCATTTTCTTTCATTTGTGTATTGGTCAAAAAGTGGCATCATTCCTTGGGGAAGAGTACAAGGGAGTGCTTACACTGTGCTGGTGAAAGTATATAACTTGGTGAGACCTTTTTCAGAAGCAGTAGATAATGTCCGCCAAAAGCCTTGACAGAAACACTGGAATCAAATAAATTGTTTAAATTGTCATAAGACAAGCTGCCTAATTAAAACTATATGAATAAATTGTCCAATACAGTTCTAGTCAGTGAGAAAATGTTTGGCATTTCAAAGAAATGATAATGAAAAGGTCATATTAAATGAATAAGTGTATTTGGGACACTGCATTTGTACATTTTATGGATTCATCATTTTATGATAACTATTCTTTGTAATGAAAAAGAAATATAGAAACTTATAAATGAAGCTTATCTTGGGATATATGAATTATGATTAGTAAATCAAAGTCTGTAGGAAGAACTTTGAATCATATACTTCACTATAAAGTACAAATATTTGTCTGCCTTTGACACTCATTGTTACAAATCTTTCATTTAATGAACTTGCCATGCATCTCAGACAGATAATTTAATATTAATGTTTCCTTTTCAAAGCGCTAGAGAAAAAAGAAATGGTCCAGGCATGTTAGTCCTTACACCCACCCGGGAATTAGCTCTTCAAGTGGAAGCTGAGTGTTCTAAATACTCATACAGTGATCTTAAAAGGTAAGTCATCTCTTTGGTCACTTCTGTATCAGTATTTTGCACACCTATACATTGTGTATGTATGGTTGCAGTGTCCAAATTTACAGCCTTGTGCATATCACCCAAGTGCTCGACCACTATAACCCCAATCCCACATATTAAATTTATTTTTAATTGGTACATAAAAACAAAATCATACACACTGATGGTGTGCCATGTGATGTTTCAGTATGAGTATGCATTGTGTAATGTTTAAATCATTCCTCAAACATCATTTTATGTTAAAAATATTCAAAAGTCTTCTAATTTTTTTTTATGTGTATGAGTGTATTACCTGCATGTAGGTAGGTACACCCTTGTTGTGCAATATCCACGGAAGTCAGAAGAGGGCGTCGGATCCCCTGGAACTGTAGTTAGACAGTTGTTAGCTGCCATGTGGGTCATGGGAATCAAACCTGGGTCCTCTGCAAGAGCAGTCAGTGCTCTTAACTGTTGAGCCATCTCTCCAACCCAAGTCTTCCAGCTTTTTAAAACATACATTGTATTATTAGTATCTCTTTTTTTTTTTTTTTTTTTTTTTTTTTGTCGCGGTCTCAGTATGTAGCCCTGGGTGACCCAGAACTGGCTTTGTAACCCAGGCTGGCCTTGAACTCACAGGGATCTACCTGCCTGTGTCACTATGCCTCACCATTATATTATTACAGTCACCCTGCTGTGCACAACAGATTCTTGCTCTGAGTTAACTTCATATTTTGAGTTTACATTTTCAGTCATTTGTAGCTTTTCACAACTTTTTATTGATTTCACATTATGCTGGTTGATCTGATCAATAACAGCTACATAGTAGAGTCAAATAGTGGTGCAAACAGAGTTCTCTATGAAACATCTGTGAGCTGACAGGTGTGGATAGTTCTCAGAAAGGGGTAGATAACCCCTAAAGGATCTGATACTCTTATTTCAACTTACACTGTAACCAAAATGTTTAGGTTAGTTGGGATTTTGAGTTATGATGGCATATCCTTTGCTTAAACATGAACCTCTGGATTTTTCTTAAGTGTTTGTGTATATGGTGGTGGCGACAGAGATGGACAGATACAAGATGTTTCAAAAGGTGTAGACATCATTATTGCAACTCCTGGAAGATTGAATGATCTACAAATGAATAACTTTGTCAACCTGAAAAGTGTAACCTATTTGGTAATTATGGAGTAGGGGTTTGGAATACTGGGAAGAGAAGAACTGAACTTGTAGTAGAATTGGGAAGGGGTGGCTGTTTTATAATGGTTTTATATTTTGGGAATATTTCCCATTTCCTTTAGCATGATAAATAATGAAAATTTTAGACATTCAGATTTTCTTATTCAAACAAATCAATCTATTCCTGTGGCCACAGTGAGTTTATTTTTATGTCTGTGGAGAAGCTGTAGTGTCTTAGGCAGTGGAGAAAAATGAGTGTTATGAGAATGGCCACATTCTTCATTGTGAATACAGGTTTTAGATGAAGCCGACAAGATGCTGGACATGGGATTTGAACCCCAGATAATGAAGATTTTGTTAGATGTCCGTCCAGATAGGCAGACTATTATGACAAGGTAGGTATGCCTAATTATAGATTCAGAATAGAAGGCAATGGGTTAGAAACCCATTCTATTGGATTGATTTCTCCATATTTTAGAATATTACTTGAAAGTATTTTGAGAGCCTTAAATGTAATTGTAACAATGGTTGCTTTATTCTTGACTATTGACTTTCCTACATTATAAATGGGGCTTTATTTTACTTTTTTTATATTTTATTATTTTTATTTTATGTGTATGAGTGTTTTGCCTGCATGTATGCAAGGACACCTGCATCATGCTCATGGAGGTCAGAAAAGTGTGTCAGATCCCCTGGAACTGGAATTACAGATGGTGCTGGGAACCAAACCTAGGTCCTCTGCAAGAGCATCCAGTGCTCTTAACTGCTGAGCCATCTCTCCAGCCCCCTACATTTACTTTTTTATTTTGTGTGTGTATGCATGTGTAGGTGTGCCATGGCACACCTGAGGAGGTCAAAGCACAACTTGCAAGAGTTAGTTCTCTCTACCATGTGGGTTCTGGGGATTTAATTTGGGTTGTTAGGCTTGGCAACAAATACTTTTACCTGCTGAGCCATCTCGCCAACCTCTAAGATAACTGAGAAAGCAATGAGTGTTACTTGAGTGATCTATAAAGACTAATTCCTCATAGAATTCTTTGTCTTTATTAACATTAAGAATAATGTGAGTTCATGGGTGCAACTTCCTGTCGTGTCCAGAAGATATTGTTTCATAGTGGTTCTTCCCAATCTCTGACTCTTACAGTCTTTCCACCCCCTCTTTTGTGACAGTCCCTAAGCCTTATGGGGAAGGGAATTATACTATTTTTTTTTTTTAGAATTTTTTTAAATTAAAAAAACAAGTTTTAGACATGGTAGTGCACACTTTTTTTTTTTTTCGGTCTTTTTGAGACAGGGTCTCCCTGTAGCCCCATCTGTCCTGGAACTCATTATGTAGACCAGGCTGGCCTTGAACTCACAGAGATCTGCCTGCCTCTGCCTCCCGAGTGCTGGGATTAAAGGCGTGCGCCACCACGCCCAGCAGTGTACACTTTTAATCCTAGCACTTATTTGAGAGGCAGAGGTGGGCAGATCTCTGTGAGATCAAGGCCAGTCTGGTCTGCATAGCAAGTTCCAGGCCAGTTAGGACTACATAGTGAGACCATATCAAAAACAGAAAGGCAAGGGTGGGGAGAGTGGGGGAAGAAAGGGAGGGAGGGAGGGAGGGAAGGAAGGAAGGAAGGAAGGAAGG